AGTAGAGTTCAAACTGGCGACTCAGTGGTTAAGAACAGAACACTTCTAGCCAGATCCATTACTTAGGCGAAAGATTGACGTTACGGTCATGTTACCACAGGGAAGTTTTACAATATTATCTCACTGAATTCCGACTGAGCCTTTATATCACGAATCAGAAACAAGATATTTTAGTCTATTTTAACTGTCAAAAATTATGAAGCAGTGGATTGTAATGGTGTTTCCGATGATGATATTAAGAAACTGATAGTAAACAAAGGATTTATGACTACATAACTACTAATTTTAAAGTATTCGATTGTACAAGGATAGTTCTCATTAAAAAGGAATCTGAATTGTTAAGATCTAAAATGTAATTCAGTGATTAACATACATTCGAATGCCTGAGATGGAATACGCCCAGCTAAATTTGTTAAAAGTTATCTATTAGCAGAAATAAGATAATTTATTAATGAAATCTGAGACCAATCTCCAAAAACGTCGCACGTGGACGTAACTTTGGCTAACTAGTTTGATTTCAAGATATCCAAGGCCTTTAGCTACGAGTATGTCTCTGATGAAAATTAGATTCGTTAAAAGAACGTGTCAGAAAATCTAACATGCTACAATAATTAATGCAAGAATAACTCAGAAATACTAAACAGAAGTACCAAGACCGAACAGTTAATTGCGGATCTCGGCTGAAACGATTTATTCGAGCATAACGAATCGGTCATAAATTTGCGGGGGCAAACATTACTTACTTACTAACACCTGTCAACCCTCGTGGAGAAGCACAAGCCATCCGTCAGCATTCTTCATCCAACTTTGTACTGGAGAATCCTTTCCAGTTGCTACACATCTTATTCATGCCTACTTCCAATTCTCGGCGCAGTGTGTTATTTGGTCTTCCATTTTTACGTTTCCCTTCAGCATTAACAGTTAGAGCTTGATGCAGTTTGATTATTTCCTAAATGTGCGTCCTATACACTTTCAACATTTTTCTCTTAATTTCCTCTTGCACCTTTACTTTTTGAAGATAGTTGTAGTAGTTCTCCACGTTTCAGCTCCGTACATTAGAACTGTCTTGACGTTCGTATTAAAGGTTCTCATTTTGATATTGCTAGACAGTTGTTTCGAGTTTCGTATGTTCTTCAATCATAGGAATGAGGCCCTTGCTTTGCCGATCTGTGCCCTCACATTTGCATCAGATCCTCCTCGTCCAACGGTGATGATGACCAGGTGCATGAGTTTCCACATCTTACAGAGTTTCTCCATCAATTGTGATTGTGTTGGTGTTCTCAATGTTGTATTTGAGGATCTTGCTTTTTCCCTTGTGTATGCTGAGGCCTACTGAAGTAGAGGCTGCTGTTAAACTAGTTGTCTCCACCTGCATTTGTTGATGCGTATGGAATAGAAGGGCCAGATCATGTGTGAAGTTCGAACCGTTTAGCTGCATCAAACCTGTCCATTGTATTTCGCGCTTTCCTTCACATATCGAGGTCTTCACAATCAAGTCAACTACCAGAAGAAAGAGAAAAGGGAGAGTAATTCGACTTGTCTCACTCTGGTCCTCACCTTGAATGCGTCTGTCAGCTGTCCTCCATGCACGACTTTGCAGCGTAGTCCGTCGTATGAATACTGGATGTTGACGAATTTTTTTTAGGTACTCCATAATGTTCTCCTATCCTCACTGTCAAACGCTTACTCGTAGTCAAGGAAGTCGATGTATGGTGAAAAAATTCCACCCAACTAAATGTTCAACGATGATCCTTAGTGTCGCGATTTAGTCTGTGCACGACCGATCCCTATGGAATCAAGCTCGTTGATACCCGAATTGGGCGTCTACTGTTTCTTTCATCCGATTCAGCAACGCTCTGTTGAAAACGTTTCCTGGTAACGACAGTAGTGTGACGCCCCTGTAGTTCTCACATTTGCCCTGATCACGTTTCTTTGATATCATGTTGAAGTGTCCTTCTTTCCAGTACGTCCTCACTTCTTCATACTCCTAAATCTTCCTGAATAGTGTGAAACACGATCGCAGTTACTTGTATGTCTGACTTTGGTGCTTCGGCTAGTATATTATCAGGTCCTGCTGATTTCCCACTCTTGATGGCCATCCTGATTTCTTCGGTCGTTGGTGGAGTGACATGTATAGCAAGGTCCGTAGGTGGTGCTTCGATATATGATGGATGCAATCAATCTGGTCTATCTGACAATTCCTCAGTGTTCTAAGCATGTTCCTCTGTTCTTGAATCTGTGATTGACTTGCCTTCTTTGTCCATGACGGGTCGATCTGGTTTACTATATTTTCCTGCCAGTTTCTTTGTCATATAGTTGTTTCATGTTCCCTAGACATGCAACTTCTTCCGCTGTCGTTGCTGCAGCCATGTCAGTCATTTGTTTAGTTTATTTTCCTAAAATGTATTAGGATGACCCTAGGAGATTAAAGTACCTCGAAACAGAGCTAGTTATAAACTATTTTAGGAAAAACTGAAATTAATATATTTCACCAAATATGTCGATTCACATCGAAAGCACGTCACTCATACTCTTCTAACTATTACTAGCTACTTAAATGACAAATCTTTGAGCAAGCACGCTATTAAATGACAGCAGGATAAACTGAATACTAGTAAACATTTTAACGATATATAATATTCTATTTCCAGGTAGATGAAAAAGAAGTTCTCTCTCTCACAAGTCTCTTATCTCAGTCTGGTGGTTTATTCTCTATTTGGATTGGACTTAACATGATGTCAGTTATAGAAGTGGTAGAACTGATTTTTCATCTTATTACAAAATGTAGACAATTTTCAAAGCGAAAACGACTTCGCCGAACTCAAAAAAAGCAGACTACATGCGACACACTGAAACCACTAACCAATGCAAATAGTGAGACAGAAATGGTACAGGATCAGATAACAAACCGAGGAATCGGAAAACAAACTGAGAAGTATAGAAAAGACGACATGACCATAAACAATGGTCCAATACAAATACACACCAGAAAACGATCTCCAAGCGCCCCTAATCAGATGGTATCTGGAAATATATCATTATATTTACCACAAATTTGACACTCACAACTGTTCACGATCAATCTAAACCTGTGTTGATTTTTTAAAATTCTAATAAAACATTTCATCCAGTTTGAAAATGCTTGTAGTTGTATATATTATTCGTCTAACCTAAACAGCGAAAGAATTATCAGCGTTACGGTTAAAAGATACGTTTCTAAGATTGCGACAAGAATCATTTTGTATGGACATAAGCAGTCAAGGGGGAAAAGCGGAAGCCAAAGTATCCGGTAATGTGCACTTTCAGAGACTAATAACCAAGTCAGAACATGTTAAACAAGTAACGATAATTTTAATAGCTGGATTCATGAATCGATCTAAGTGCTCCCAGGTTTTCAATGGTGGTCCAGCTTAGATAGACTCATGAATTCAACTATTAGAATTACAATAATCTCCACAAATCCCACTTTCTGAAAACAACAATAGGTAATTATTAAATAGAAATTTTTAAATATTATTGCGTGAAACTATATGCACATGCATGTATATCCTTAAACTAATAAGACCAATGTGGGACTCGTGTACCAGCCCTATGATGTTACATAATATACCACCAAAGCAAATGGAGACCGACCACAGTAAATAATGAAATACATTGTAAGCCAAAACCGATAGTGGTTTGGTAATAGCTTCACTGATACCAAAAGTGAATTGTACAAACCAACTATTAGTATTTTCATGAACAAACATTACATCTAGTTAGTTCATATCAAATTTCTACAGCACTAACAATCACTCTAGGGATTGGTAAATGATTAGTTTAGTTAGCTTCAATATCTGTGAAACACGATTTACAATATCGGACAATGAATAAGATTTAGAAAGCTATACAAATCCGCAACAGATTTATAAATTATCTACCCACAAATCGGTTTTAAATTATTTGAATCGCTTGGTTGATAATTTGACACAAAATTAGCGTGCTTTGGTCGGTTTCCCATGCGGATTGGCCCTATATAACCACCATGTGGGTAATGAGATGGCTTTTGAAGCGAACGGCACTGAATTCGAGTACCGGAGTGAATATCAACTATGGAATACAAGTACAACCACCCGACGAGACCAAAATAGTTTTATTATTTATTTATTTCAACACATAAATATTGGTACAGGAGGGCACCAAATATATTGCGACACACCATATTTGTGTGTGTCGGCTGTGATACTGCTCGGATGCCCAAACCGAAGAAGGTGGTTTTCTTAGGAGGCCACACCTCGAGCCTTCGACCTAAAGGTCTGATCCACAAGGCAGTGGAGCATCGTGAGGAGATGCAGCCCCATGGTAGTCGGTGACCAACGATTGGTTCTTACGCCATTTGTTCCTTCAGGATACTGGAGCCCATGTGCACCATTAGTTTGGGATCCGGTTAAAGCGTCGGAAATTCGCTTTTCGTTCTCTCATTTTCGTAGACAACACCCCCGCCACGAGAAGGCAGTGAGTAGGACTTCCTTGACAGAGGCTGTATACTTGTGTCCGTGTGAGAGTATTTCGAGAGGGAGGGAGGGCCCACCCCACTCTCGACCATATTAGTGCATTTGAGGGCGAGACTGAAGGTCCTGGGTTCAAATCCCGCGAAACGGGATCGTGGATGTGCATTGCCAGTGAGGACCGAAATAGGACCAGACGCGAGCCCTGGATTCTGTCGCCAGTCACATTCTATCTATTCCGAGTTTAATGATATAAAATACCAGAGGCTCAACTAATAACAGCTCAATCAACAATTATGATTTCTGTAAAATATTATTAGATCGTTTTGCCTATGCTCTACAACCTTCCGACCACTTATCGTGAAATAAAAACTGTCATAAAAATAACGATTAATTCAACACTTAAATGATATCAATCAAAATTCCAACTTTTTTATGATGCTATTTTCAACCAAAGCGAACCAACGTCACGTATTGTAGTCAAACAATTTTACTTTACTAGAAAGATTAGATACTGAAGTCAAATAGCTTTTAGTATTAATAAAACGATACACCTAGGATTTTTATGCTATACATCTGTACACAAACCAGATGTACCAACAATAAAACAAACTATTGCCTATTAGTACATGTAGATAAGTGGGAGAAATTAGGGGATAATAAGTCAGAGCTATGAACTGACTGACCGAGAAACACTTAACGTATATAGCTCAAAAACTAACTGAATGGTGTGAAAATGATTAGTACAAATAAAGCAAACACGTACAAATAAACAATATCAGATTTTCTGTGCAGATAAATTTTATTCAATACAATTGATCTAAAATGCTTCGAAGTAATTCATAAATTTGGTTGAGAGTTAGACAACAACACTTTACGGCATAATTAGTGTTGCAGATGGTGGACAAGCTCAACTTAATTCAAAATAGGTACGAAGAATCTTGAGCATTTGAGAGCATCACATTTGTCTCATATGCACAATACAAACAGCAAAGCTAAGAAATTACATGAATATTGTCACAGTGAAAGTGACAAACACAAGCACTGCGGAGTACTAGATAATTATTCAAAGTACTGACAAGGTGAAAAAGATAATCCATCGAACCTATGAATATGTTAACGAAGCTTTTGAAAGTCATTCACAACTGGTAATATGAAAAGCTGGTTAAAAGTCACTGGTTTTACAGTTAGCCTGCAGATAACTGAAGGAAAGAGTATCTTCAAAACTAAGTCGCGCAAGAAACGAAGTGAAGATATATTTCGCACAAATCAATGAATGAATTTTTTAATTATGAATCTTGATAGGTTTTTCATTTGGAGCATAACGAGGACGTTTAGATGGCTTATGATCAATTCCCAACCATGGGCGACTTTCAGGAAGACAATAGTGAGTAAATCTTTTTATCTGCACTGTGGGATCCCCTTCATTCGGGATGTAAGCACCCTCAGTTGGATAAATTACAGCGAATCGCCAACGGTCAAACTCCTTTTCAGGTACTTCTAGTCGTTTACGTATACGCTCGCGCACTGCAGTGTAATTTTCTCCATCTCGAATGCGTACAGTAAACGGCACCCCGAAAGTCTCTGTGAAAGCTTTGTCAAAATGAGAAACGTACACTACAGTTTCGTCAGGTTTCAAGTTTATTTCGTCAAGAGGAATTTCTTCAATCCGAAGACTATGAATAGGAGACGACCCTGCATATGTTTGGGGAAACACAGCAGATTCAGGTATGAGTGAAAGTTTTTGTGTTGGAGGATACTCTTGTATAATTCGATTACGAGAGATTTTGAGTAAACGCAGTTGGCCAGAACCACCAGGAGGCAAGACTAAATGACGAGAAGCTTCTTTTAAAAGATCAAAAACTAAACCATTCTGGGGTACTGAAAGAATTAATTCTGCCTTTTCCGATAATTTTTGCCCAACATAAATCACACGAACTTGACGCATTGTTTCAAGTTCATCAATTCGAATAGCCAGATGTGCGTAGTACACACGACGAGGTGGGGAAGAAGTAACAGGACCCAAAGGAGAACGGCTAACAGTCACAGCACCACAAAAACGATTAAGCGGTATTGGGAAGCGATCTGGAGTGGGGGTATTTCCACCAGTTCCTGACAATGTATTTCCGCTGTTAACTAAACCTGGCCCGATACCACCAACATCAGAAGCCCATGAAGTATTCGTGTGCGCAACAGTAAACGGAAGGAAAAATTCTTGCAATGTACCAGAATATGAAGAGCTGATTGCAGGACCGGGAGGTTCTCGCATCAAACCCTGAGCGGCTGCTGCTGCCACAAGTGAATTTAAGTAGGGTGACGACGTTGGGAAACCTGAAACAAACAGGAAAAACAATAGATCACGTTACTCATTGTAATCTCTGAAGTACTTGTGTAACGTTAACTATATTATTCAAACTGTTTTAGTAACTAAAACAGTCCAAGACAGAATTTCGAAAGAGTTTGTCCGTACGACTTACACACATACATAAGCTAATACATGAACTAATTTCCCGCATACACAGTGAAGTACGAGAAGCTAACAATACCAAACTTTTTCTGAAGGAAAATCCATATCCTATAAAGCGAAAATTGAGTTCAGTTCTCTTACTATAGTACAGTTGGGTGAGATATAATGTACACGGACGGCTGGAGAAAAATTATTGAGCGCTAAAACTTCATTTGCTCAGGTGAAAACTTTTTTATATTTAACAAAATTTAATAATACATTGTATGTAATTCCAATTCATTTCAAATATCAACCACTGTGTCCGCTTTTCTCTCTAAATTGACAACCACAAGTCGGCAACAGTAAATTAATGACCTAGTACCATGTGTAGTTGACAACATAGAAAGGCTAGTGCATGAAATCTCGAAAACCCTGGTTTTAAAAACTGACTAGTCTGGATAAGGCATCTTAGAAACCAAGTTGGTATTTGTCTAAAGAGCAAACAATCCCGTAAATATAAGCTTGAAAACAGGGCATTCTTCCCATAAATTACAGTATAAGTTGTGAGAGCCAAGTGTGCAGTGTGTATCAAAAGTTATCATTTGTGATATCCAAAATAATGTTGGTGAATTGATTTTTGCCCACATAATTCGCTCATTCACTAGGTACTTTACTTAAATATGAGACACATTCTAGGGTTAAAGGCTAATGATATCACATGGTTTTTCAAACCGAAGTAGGTATAGTGGGGTACTAATATGGTAATTAGTAGCTGAAAGCCGGACGGCCTAACCACTAAGAAACCATTGCATGCTAATAATCCAAACTTTGAATTTTATAGAATACACAATATGTCAATTAGAAACAACGTAGGGCCAGGTACAAATCCATGTTTTCCACAGTTTGAATAAGTAAACGTGTCATGTTGAAAATTACCAGGCTTCAGGAGTCAATATAATATACATTGTGATTTCAAGCAAATAATCATTATCCCATTTCGAAGACAGCAACTCGAAGTAAAAAAAGTGGAACAAATAGAATGAAACAAGAGCAACAATGAGAAATATCTGTGGTAGAAATGTGTTGTATCTACAGAAAATGATGGGTAAATTCGGAATAAACCATAGAGACACATTAAAAAATAAGAATGATTATATTGTACTGTAGTTTCTTCTAACTTACCAGATGATTTGGCTGTTAACAAATGAGGATGAATTGGTGATCCACGAGTTCCTGTAACTCCTAAAGCCCCACTCTCTACAGAACAAACGTTGTTATTGCCACAAGTGTTCTCTGTAGTTTCTGAACTGATAGGTGGAGATGCAAGTTCACTTCCAGTGACACCAGTCCCAGTGGAGACAGGTGAGACATAAATTGGTGCATTAACAGCATCCGTCGTATTGCCAAATCCTTGTTGTGAACGGAAAAATTGAAGACGGTTACTTTGCGTTGATAGGTAAGCTGCAGCAACATTGGCGAATTCCCAATACGTAAGATCGGCTGACACCTGAATGAGAATCCCAGCGTCCTGAGGTCTAAGCTTATCCACCAATAATATTTCGAACTACAAGAAAAAGGGATACTCACAGTTTTATCCCTAAGTAATAATAGACATTACGTTTATATGAACTTATTTGGTAATCGTTACAGAATGTTAGGAAAATGAAGAGTACTTCGCCGAAGGATTGCCTTGGATTACTAGTTTAGGCGTTACAGTTACGAACTAATAAGTAATGCTATGATTCCCTGTATATAGATTGCGCAACACTTCGAATTCAACTTGATTGGGTTTGTGGAAGATAAGTCAAATTTGAAGATAGTCATTGTCACGGACTGCCATCAGCTGCGAAACCACTGGACAGTAAAAAATGCTGAGAACTTGCAACGCTCCAGTCGAGGGCTTCTGGAGAGGTTGTTGATGAGCAATACTGAGATCTAGACTAAAACGAAACATCCGTCCCTGCTTGTTACTTTCCTCCAGTCCGTTCAGAAAAGTGCTTTAAAGACTTCAATTCAATCAGCTAGAATTGTACAATGATAATTTTAAGTGAGTTTCCAATTAAAACGATGGAAACTAGCACATTTTATGATGATATGTGGGAATGCATATGGATTCGCATACTAAATTAATTTAAACTCGACATTAAAATAATTAAGAACTAGAGAATCAATTTCTTAAGAATTTCATTATAGAACACAGAATTTACAATCGTACAGGGATTAGGAATAACTGAGAATCTAAATGCCTCAAAAGTATGTACTTAACCCTGAAACATCTTTTTTAAATACACTAGTCTACTACAACCTATTTTGATGAATAGTAAATTATTTCAAATCAACACAAAAAAAAACATATAGAAACATCTAATTAACATCACCTAAAAGATTTTACGCTACATTCATGGTAGGTTTCCCTATTATATGTAACACAAACAGGTAAATTTCAAGACTGACTTCGAATATAAACATTCAATGAAACAATAGCCATGATCATAATGGTTGATGTAGAACAGTAAACGTCTTACTGGAGATGTTAGATTAGCGGCTAAAACCTGAGTTTGAGTTTTTCAAAAATTCTTGAAATCAGTGACGATTCGCATGTTGAAGGAAATGTTACAGTTTTAAATCATGCACTACGAACTAATTAACCAACCAGATTGCTATTTTAATTCTAGACAACTTGCACATAATACATGACCATCGAAATGTGATAAGATGATTACTTATTGGTAAATTACTTATAACTAAAATATTTTTTGTAAAAATCTTAAACACCAAACCTATTAAGCACACCTGACGTATATAACTGCTGAAGTAATCAAAAATCGTCAGTTTTTCTGCAGATGAGATTGTTTGCGTTTGTAAATCCGCCGTAATCGGTTGACCCATCAGATTCATACAAGATCGAGATTTATTGCCAGCTACTGCTGGGAAAGTAGCCATTTTATGCAAAGTAATGGAATCAATATTCGATAACGAGACAACAGAAGACTCCGAAATATCTCTGCAAACATCTGCGTTACCACTAACATTATCGTCCACGATATTTGAAGGGATGACTATACCATTCATACCAATAACCTGGCTGTTGTCAGTAAGAAGAGGACTTTCGACAGACGACAAAACATGCGCATCATCTACCAAACTGCTCAACGCTTCTTTCCCCATCTCAGTGGTTTCCATCAATCCAAATGGTAGTGGGATTGAGCAATTCATTGATTTAGCCTACAAAAAAGATAATTAGAAAGTTTCTGAAAAATAATATGTCCATCCCACTGAGTGTAATGAATTCAAAAATCTATGTAACCTTGTTTTATTATCGATACAAATACAGTTACTCCGGTAAATTATAAAATATTACTTTTGAGTCACGAATTCCCAGGGTCAACAAATAAATGGAAAACACTGCACTCACTTGATGCGGTGACGTACACAGAAAATGCATGAAAAAGACGTCTTTGTTAGACTTTACACACTGAAAGTACATTTTGAAGTTGGATAAGTAGTTTTGTGTCTGACTTTTAGAAACAATGCAAATATGTGTTTTTTTAGATTCAATGTGTATATTCTGTATATTTAGGATGTGTGATTCACAAAAATTTATCGTCAGTACTTGGCCATAATAAGTAGCTTTAACAAGAAAAGCTGACTGATTATCAATTAATCAATCAATTGACACAGCGCTATATCCGACTAATGGTATGTAATTTCATTCTGGTGTGAGAGCCATGGTATTATTTGACTAATGAGTACTTTATTTAGTACATTGTGGTAACTAACAGTTGAGTTTCGTAATACGTCATGTAATCTCAGTTGTGAAAATTTATTAATAATGTTTATCATCAATACCATGAGATAATGTAATTGAAACTCATTAGCTACTCACAAGTTAGTGAACTAAATCTAATTTAAAATACTACCTAGAAGCCTAAACCAAATCAGGAAGTAAGGTTGAATCTGGTGTTAAATGCATTAAACAAAAAGCTGAGTAAGATTATGTTGTAACACAGAGATCTTGGTTAACGTTGCTCATATAAAGCACACATTTTAAATCTAGTTTCTTGGTTCTTTCTAAACTAATCCAAGACTGTGGATATACAACTTTAAACAGATTACCGTTCCAAATGTTCATAAAAGTTTGGATATTCAGAGGAACTACGAACAATAGATTTGCAACAAAGTACACCAAGACCACATGAGCTAGCTACTGGGGAATAAAACTAGGTTTCGTTATTTATTTCTCCATACATTTGAACAGAATCGGAAAACTATACAATGAGTACTGACATGTATGTATACGCAAAAGGTTGAACAATAAAGTTAACTAACTTGGAAGTACAAAATTTGTCCTTGGATATCGCGTTTATACATTTTAGATATTGGGATATCAAGTTGTGTAATTTCAGATATCAAGGATTTCGCATCGTCTTGGAAAAACATTAATTTACAATTAGAAGGTAATCCAACCCGTTCGCGAGCTATTGGTTCAATAACCCTCAACGATTCTTCTCTGCGAATTTCCACATGGCCACAAAATGTTGACGTCCAAGTGAATGGATCGAAATATTTGAGGAAAAACAAGTGTCGATCTATCACAGTTTGTTCTTTATCCACACGAGGAATAAATGAATTAGTCGAAGTATCGGACTGAACAAAAAATATGAGAGCATCTTTCATAGCGCATAATGGTTGATTATCACAAAGTTCAATTAGATGAGTAGGCATGTTCTTACGTCTAATGGTGAAAAAATAGAGGTAAACTACATAACTTTTGACGAATATAGAAACGTGCAAAAATGTTTTTTTTTAATTTGCTTTAGCGTTTCCGTTTATAAATATCAACGACGTTATTGAACTTTGCTTGCGGATATACGTGAATAAGTGAATAATTCTACTAAAAACTAAGTATTTGTACTAAATTTGAAAAACAGAAATGAGATTTTGAAAAAAAAACAACGGAAGAAACCCATTGACTCATTAAAAAGGATGATTTCTCAGCGAATAAAATTTTCTTTTGGACAAAATTATTTTCTGAAGCTGTATAATAGTACTTATAGGTAGTTTTTACATGCAGTAGTGCACAGTAAAATAGAGAAGTTTTACAAAATTATCAAAGATAACCAAACCTATTCAAGTATCGGATGTGAAAATCAATGAAAATGTAGTGTTGTATGATATAATCAAGAATATCAAATGATTTTAGGTATAGAATAAAACAAGTATTTCATCATTTAGCAAAGTTGTTACGTCCTGAGCCCTGTCAAATATCACATGACTAAATCGCCAATTAGAAACACAGACTTATATAACGTTGACAGTGTGCCAAACCAATGGCGTGTTAACCAGTACGAGTAGTCTAGAATCAACTCAGAGTCCTTATAAGTTTTTCTCGAGTAGCCTTGTCCGTTAGAGTCCAGAACACAATTTCAATTTCCATTGTATGAATCATATATTTCAGACATACTTGGTTTATACACAAGCAAACCAGACCTCATCACACCACATAATATCAAATAACAACTATACAACATTAGGCAAAAAGTGGTTGTGTGTGGTATTGTAACTAATAAATGGGGAATAGCTTAGGAATACAAAATCGTATATTAGCCAGTAGGTCAAATGAAAAAAAATATAGATAGATAGATAGATAGTTACTTAATAGTTATATAACAGGAATATACATATAACAGTCAACAAATAGTTCGCAGAAGTGACACAATTTAATCTTCCTCGAACAAAACAAAAGTAATCAAAATTATCAAGAACTAAAATTTGTAAAAGTTTTGGAAGTAATAAGTAGTAATTTGTAGAATAGAAACAGAAGATAACTATCTACATTTTAAATGATAAGAGGAAGATCATAATAATAGCACTTACGGTTTGTAAAACTTAGAGGAGTGCTAAGAATACGGAATAATAAGGGATTGAACATGACTCGTTTAAACAGAGAGGTCAAGTTTGAAGTGGTCAATTGCTATAGTCTTAAATGGGCACAAATTTCTCATTGAAACCTATTATGAGCCAGTTCTCTTCTTCATCAGGTAGATGATTTTTGAACGACGATTTTAGTGATGGGATGTGACCAGCATTGACCTAGTGTTTTAAAATTGAACAATTCATTGATTTGCATATCCCTTTTGATAGCCATCCAAGGTAGAGATGGATATTCATTTAAAAAGTGCACGCTTTATACGCCTGGTGTAACATGCTCCACAGAAGCAAATAAATTCTAATTTTGCAAGAGATAAATGAATGATACCTTTATCAACTGTGACGAAGATAGTGACCTTAATACAAGAGTTCAATAATTGCCATCACTGGATTACGTTCATAACATAATCAAAGTAGAAATCGGAAATCCACTTTTTTAATATTCTGTTAAAACACGGATCAGATGGAAATCCATCGTATACAAGAATAAAGTTTAGTATTGTCAACTTGACGTTTTGGTTTCATATTACTACCAAACAACCTGGACAACAAACCATTTTTCAAAAGTATTTTCCGAATTATATTCAACTCATTGTTAAATGTGTTTTCAGTGCACATTTGTCTGACACTTGAGAACAAAGAATTGAGCTAAATTTACCTTCCTCAGTGGCATCAAACTCTGGAAATTCGTATACTAGTCGTCCTAGGTTGGTTCTTCGCATGTCGACCGTTGTAAAGATCCACCCTATAATTTTGACTTCGACAAATGTGTAACACTCCTCTATTTTAGTATGCAACACTACATGTAGAAATTACCTATAAATACAATTATACAGCTTCAGAAAATGATATCACTGGGAATAATATTTACCTCGCTGAAAATGCAGTTTGTTTAGTAACACAAAAGGGACCTACCGAGGTTGAAACCGCCACAAACGTATTCCTTCAGGCTGATAATGCAACACATTTGCTACATCTTCTAGTAATTTCGGACGAACAGTTTGTTTTTGAACGCGTAACATCCGACTGGGCAATAACTCTTGACTACACAAATCTGGACCCTAAAATTTAAAACAGTACTATGGATTAAATTTATAGGAAGTGATAAAAACAAATGAAAGATTGAGAAAGTGAAGTACATTTGAAATTAGGCAATATAAAACCAAATTTAGCTGACGTACTTGCCAACCATAGAAGTCCTCTTCAAGTATTAACTGAATAGCGACATACAAATGAACCTTCTCTTTTTGTTTTCTTTTAGCCTCATCCATTTTTTGTTCATCCATGAATCGCTCGCGTAATGTCTCAGGAATATCTATCTCAGAAACAGGGCATAAAACATCATCTTTCGCGGAATCTGCGATATACACAAGCATATAAGCGTTTGTGCAAAGACGCATATCAGGATCATCACTACCTCCGAAATTCTGTAATAAAATAAGTATAATTATAATAAATCAAAAGTGTGAGTGTAAAAAATATATATTATTCTGTAAAAACACATGTAGTTCAAACGTAACAGAGAGATAATAATTATATCAATAATTGAATTATCTATATAAATGAAACGTTCATGTACCCTTTAAAACAATGCACTATGAACACAAGGAATGCAAACATGAAATAATTAACAAAATGTCATCTTTAGAATTTATTTGTTTCAAGAATTATCAATAAATGAGAAGACTACCGCATTCTGTTCAGTGATGTAATCATGATTTGATACCAAAATATTTTAATAAAGCCAACGTAACTCAGCTAGGATGTTAATTGAGCCCCCAAAACTAAACAGTGAGAAGCATGAAATGTGAAAACACAATCACAGGACAATACTATGCTAATAGATACAAAAGCAGTAAACCACGTTGTTGGGTAACTAGAGAAAGTCTACCCTAGTCTTAAGGTAAGTTCAAAAATCCCAACTCAATTATTTATTTGGCAAAATTATCCAATGTTGTCAATCAGTTACAACGTAGGACCAGGTACATATATGCATCAGTCCAAGTCGCCATACTACATTAGCACATCAAGATGAACACTGGATTCATAGAAGTAGCTAAGTCAATTATATAAAAGATTGCATATAAGGATATACTACAGGAAGAAAGAATAGGTACGCGATTTTTAACTCATAGTTTAAGGGAAGACAAAAAGTGTATACACCTACCCCATTGTGATCGATTCTGAGCCATGTCACTGAACAACTGAGCAATACTCAACTTAAATAACATTCTCGACCGTTGTTGCTACCTTAACGTGGTGGTCGGGCTTGCCCATAGTGATGAACCAATCGAGTTATACTGACTGGAACAATCGTTCCTCAAGGTCCTACAGTGTCAGACAAGTCGATTGAAGAACAGTAAGACTAAAAGCAGCAAACCCAAGGTTCGAAGATGAAGTCGTACTGCTGACTGTACAGAGATGTGACGGCAGTAAGGTGTTTCCTTCCGACAACCATCATGACTGATGCTACATTCTCACAAAGAAGGGTGAGGTTGGAAAAGGAGTTGCATCGACTACATATTCACCATTCGTCAGGTTCTAGAACACAGGTATACTTATCGGTGTCCAACAATGGTCTTTCTTAACTTAAAAGCACCAATTGAATGTGTAGACCGCGAGATTCTGTGGCAGTGTCTGTCATTGAAAGGCGTACCTCAGAAGTAAATAAACCTTGTGAAGGCTCTTCACTCGAACACTACTAGTCGAGTCAGAGCTTATGGCGAACTGTCATCTGCTTTTGCAACCTCAAATGGTGTCCGTTAAAGCTGTCCAGTTTCTCGATTTTTGTTTAACTTCATCATAGATCTACTGCTGTAAATAACGCTCTCGTCGACTGAATTTTCGGGCAATGATTTCTTACCAGGAGGTCCACTTATCGACTTAGAATAAGCAGATGACATATTCGTGTTTGGTGAAGATGCTGATAAAATGCCAAGTCTTTTGGTAGCAATGAGCGACAATGCCAGAATGTTTGGGATGTGTTTCTACTCCCACTTCTAAATGCAAGTTGTTGTTTCGGGACTGGCCTGCAGTCAGTCAGTCAGTAACAACGTAGAACTTCGTACGTACGTACATCAGTTCGAGTTGCCACACCACATTAGCACAGAGATGCAGTTGTCGATTCAAATCCCGTAGTGGTAGAAGTAATGAGAGTATAAGCAGTAATCGGGAAGATTAGGGTTTGGAGATGTTATTTAAAGAGTATAATCCAGTGAAATAAATTTGGAAAGAGGACTGGTCTGCGTCTATATATGGGTGAAGCTACTTTCAAAATGAGTACTTAAACACGTAATCTTCATTGGCACCAATATCTAAAATCAGCACACTAGATCTGACCATTGATTTGGAAACCGGCAGTAGATGTTACACCTTGCCGCAGAAATACATTTTGTGTAACTCTTGACACAAACCACATTAACTTACTGTGATAAAAGAACAACCCAAACTAACATTGATCACTTTGAGTGAATCAGCTATCACAGATGATTAGAGCACTCAACGTTATAGATTAAGACTAATTCAGATATTACTATATGTCACAAAGTGTAAAATATGTACTTTGTTACTGAGTAATATAACATCAAAATCAAATTATCCAGGTTGTTAATGAGCACTTTAAATCGAGACCAGAAAAAGTATACTAGTACTAAAATTTTAAAAGCTACATGAATGCAACAACATGAGTGCACGCATATAAGCTTTATGTGAATCTTACATAACTGGCCAGATACAAGGCAAACAAACAGTGTTAAACATAGACTTGAAACATATATCCACAGTAAACTAAGAGTAAGGTTTTGGAATTAGTTAGCCAAGAAGAATACTTTGAATGAAGTACTGTTTTGAAGTCAGACAATGGTTTAAATTACTCTCACCATCAACAGTAGTAGCATTGAAAAGAGAACACTTGAATATCATCAAATGAGCAAAAAAATGAATACATGTTCAACTAAAATCTATTGCATTTCCCAAAGGAAAAAGATTGAATTAAAATTAGGGATCATATCATCTATATTTATATGGGTTTTTTTAACAAACAAGTTTTTTTAACCTAGTAGCAATGGTTACAAACAGCAAACTAAAACTAAACCGCCATGAGAGTTAATGTCAGATGAATAAAACGTTAAAAAACTTACCATATCGATAGCATCGCGGGGTGAGCAACGTGAAACAACATCATCGTCAAACTGATACCATATACCATTTAGCGCTGGATTTATATATACAACATAATGACCACCATGATTATCACCAGAGTGCACAAGTACAGCGTGAAGTTTGTAAGTAGATGGTTTTGGTTCAGCCAAAAACTGATCCAACTTAAGAATAGGTGGAAATTCAAACCGATCATTTAGTTTGATATTTGTATCAGCAACAAAGTCATACTGAAAACGCATTAGTTGCAGGTACAATACTGGTGGAAATCGTGTAAATATAACACCTTTTTCAGCTTCTTGGAGCCCATAAGCACCAGCATCATATTTATTATCTTGAGAGAGGGTTTCTTTAGCAATGTATTCATTGAAAGCGTCATAAACAGAACGATTTCCGTTAACCTTAAGTTGGATATCATAGAAATTTTCTTCTCTCTTAGAAGAATAAGGAACGTTGATGCAATTTATATAAGAAAGCATTTTCCCACAAAATAGTCCGGGTATAACATCCTCAACTGAAGTACCTTTCATTTTGTTTTCCAAGTTGTCTAGTAAAACCCGACATAATTCCTGAGCATCATGTTGCATAAATGAGTCTAAAGTGGCCCAACCAAAACTGCGAGTCAACTTTTTAGTGCCTACAGCACGACTACTGAATTGCAATTCATAAAATACTCGCTGCAGAGCCAGAGGTACACTTGTTTGGGCATCATCACTTTCCGTTGGCATTAAAAATACTGCACGTCGTAATTTATTTGTGCAATACAATGCTTGAAGTAGAGAATTTAGATAGCAAGTAGCGCCCTGATTTTTCAGCCCAACAAATCCAGTGTGGCGTTTGGAATCCCAATCAGCACCATGAGGAGCATCAGCTTTAATATGAGCTCGGATAATAATTGTATCTTTCGGATCTGTTGGAGATAAGAAACCTCTCTCTGGATTAAGCAATTCGTCATAACTAATAAATTGTTGGAAACCCCAATCGTTTTCCTTATGTGTGAAAGTATGCTGAATTTTCATTTCTTTATTCTTGCAATTCGATCTCTGAGCAACTAACTGAATAGTTGCTTTGGCAGTACAACTCCAGGTTAGTGATTCGCTTTCTGCATTACACTGTACAAAAACACCAATTGTCGACTGAGCGTCCGGTGGATGAAAAATTACAAGTATTTTCCACGGGAGACAACGAATCATTCCTGATCCTCGAACCACCTTTAAAAAGGGATTAAAATTATTGATGTAACATACAGACATCTTGCAGTTACTAAAATTCATTTGAACTACAAGAAAAATGCTTCATTTTTGGTACTACTACTATTCCTAAAAAAGACCTACGCAGAAATGACAGAAGTAAATATTTACAAAATTTTGTTTTGTAAGACTGAGAAATTCCACTTCGATATTCATTTACTATAAACAGTATTCATAGACTACCATCTTCTCATAATAATCACAGAAAATACTACAGGTGAAAAACGACGAGTTATAAGATATACCTTTTAACATAATGAAAATGCTTTGCTTCTACTGATCTGTACCACTTTAAACTCCAATTGGACTATTGTTTAGTCTTAAGATTCCCAAGCATGTATCATTTCAACTTGATAGTGTACGTTCACTGACCGAAAATTACTCTTAACTTCATATGGAGAACTTGTTAATTAGGTAGTCTAATACCCGTCTTCATTGATTATCAATATTAATATAAGCGCGCTATAAAAATACAATCGTGTCTTTCGGACGGATAGGTCCACTATGTAAGTGGGTGCATTTTAGGTAATATCGTATGACATACTCAGCTATGAAAACACCAGAAAAAATTTATTCATTCTAATATAGCACATCGGTAAAGATCATCATTTTTGTACAATGGCTAATACAACTTTGACCTCTCAGAAGTATAAGTGAAAATAAAAATTAGGCTTACAAGTCAAAATGATACGATAACTAGATAAACTAGGGGAATTAAACATCGTGTTCTGTATACTTATAGACAATGTCAAATATTACTGGCACCCTTAGTAGGTACATGCAACCCGGTTGGGGTTCGCTCATTTATCATAACCAACGGCTAGAGACTCGGGGAAACATGGCTCAGAATCGGTTAAAAGGGTACAGATGCATTCACTGTCTCCTCATAGATCATAAGTTTTAAAATTACTTTATACATATTGTTCTGTGGACTCATTCTTTTTACCTTCAGTGTCTAATTTTTCCTATTACTGCTGATACTACTACTACTTTTAATTTAGCATATATCTAGATAGTTACATCTTGCATTGATAAAGCAGTTTGGCAACCTGAACCGATAGAAAGATGTGCTAGGTTACGAGTAGCGGGCAACTGATTGTTTTTATATTGTTCAGAAATAATCACAAATTAATGAGAAAAGCCAAAACATATTGAATATAGAAAACACTTACGCGAACGTCTGCACGTGCGGCACTTTGCTGAAAACGTTTGAAAAAAAGGAAATTTATTCATCAGGGCGTAAGAAAGAAAATATAAATAATACCTAGAATAACTGTTTCAAACCAAAGAGCAGACAGTAGCACTTAGTATTATGAATGAATACTGCATAATGCATTCGTAACGATTCAGGAGAACCATATTTATATATGAAGGTTGAACTAGTGAAACCGTATTTAGAAATATCTACAAGCCTCAATGGTTGACAAACGACCGATTTGTACGTCGTTTTTTATGATACAGTAAGCGTGGGCAAACAAGAAAGCGGTTAGTTAGTTTCTTCTAACAGAAAATAGCACTTTTGTATTCTCACCTCTAGTTCTCGTTTTTATAACAAATAATTCTAGTTATCAAGACTTTTTGCAACTACTTTAATCTGACAGAGAAAACCTTCATTAATCTCCAAGTAAAATGCGAGAAGCTAACTTCGTACACAGGAAATTCCGTAATGGTTAATCAATTATTACGATAAATAGATGCTGAACCTAACTATCAAAACATACCTACCGTACCGATAAAGTATAATGATAAGTCGTGTAGGTTGAACGCTATATACGAATCCTAAGCTATTTCCGTAACCCGCAGACTAGAACTACACAGCGACTTGAACTCCAGAGAGAAGACACAAGTATGAGAGAAAACACATTATCCCAAGGTTCATTTTAGTACAGAAAATCAAGGGTATTTATAGATGTTGGCGTCTGTTAAATCAACATCATATTTCAGCCAATCCGTTAACGTCATATTATGCTACCGATCAATGGTAGCACGCCACGCTGGAATTCTCGAACGTTCCATCATACTCTGGTTGGCTGGGGTTCTTCGGCTCCTTTTGGGGCCTCTGGAGGCTCCGTTGAAGTTCTCCGGAAGCCGATCCAACATATAATAGCATGGGACTCTTGAAAGTGAGCATCTACGATCACACACAGGACCTCCGGTCCCGGGTCGAACGACTAACATCAAGACTAATATACCCCTATCCAACAGTATTGGTGCTTAACTTCAAGCAATTCACAACCCTATACTGAAAACTATCATGCACCGACTAATCAATAGCTTCGCAAGGAAAATGCAGACATCATAAATGTGGGTTTTATCCTAGAAAACATCTGTAGCTGTCCATCGTTTCATGAAAAAAGTCAATGTAGACAGACTACCTAAAAATAAATGGGATGGTTGAAGTAGTCGGTCATGAAAGAATGTTTGAAACGCTTAAGGTATATTTCGGCTTATAACCGAAGTTAAGATGACATCACAGATCATTTACACCTTTTAACAGTAAACTTATCTATGGTTTCAGTTCGCATTAAACTCATTTTAGCCAGTGGGTTTCCAAGAATTCTATTCGATACCAACGTAAATACGATAAAAAACGGGATATTCTATCAACATCATTGCTATGTTTGAAGAGGTCACGAGTTCACCTAATCTGCGAACGGGACGAAGACTCAGTGACACAATGATCAATAGGCTAACTCTTCCGATGCGACCCAGCCCCCCCCCCCTAACTAGAGAGAGAAGTCCAGACTCAGAAGAGGGAAATGTATTCCACAAGCAGCCAGAAGCACGAACAACAATAAGCACAACTCAAGCGTATTTATACAGCATAAAAACGTCTTTGGGAAACGTTACAAAAAACATATTAAAAGAGACCACAAACCAATAACATTTTAGTTCCACCCAAGTGGGAAATATGACATGAAGGTGAAAAGTGGTGCTTTTAGTGAGCAAACAAGAAATTCAAATTTTTAAAATAGCATTATAAAAATGAGGCATTTACCAAGTGAGTTTCTGGAGATCTAATATCCCCAACAATCTTTCAACGCCTTCAACTTACCAAGCAGTACTAATTGTAACTATTATTTAAACAGATACTACTTGAACGTTTAAGTAGTCCATGGTCCTTTGTGTACATGGTAACTTTCAGTGATGAGTTTGTAAAAGTGTACTACGCAAAAAACATGACACCTACATAATCTGTCAAACACGGGATCAGGGTACAAACGTAATGGACAAAAGATTCAGTCAAAATGAAATAAACATACTTTCTGATGTAAAATGTTTTCAAAGACACCTTCGATAACTCCTGAAGCTCTTGCTTCGTCATTTTCGTCAAAGGCATCAACCGAAGCATCTGTTTGTTCACAAGTTGTCCCGCAGCATCCTTTGACAGTAGCATTATAAAACCAAGGGTGTTGTTCATCCTACATATGAGAATCAAAATTATAAGGAGGTTAGGAACAATAGGTTTCCTTCAAAACATTGAGTTAGGTATCAGATAAGAATGGAATAACCTGTAAGGAGTTTCTATGATTAAATTGAAAAATATGTAACTACCTTGATGGTATTATATATATATACTTAATATGCAAAATATGGTACAACTGGACACCAAAGACAGAATGCAACATACGAAAAACAGAAAAAGCATTGCAAAGGTGATAATGAGATAAAGGTAGAACAATTTAAGAGGAAGAATAAGTGAACACGAACAGTCAACAACATAACCGAAAAAAGTACTTCCAGTTAAGGAAATTACTTTTAGTTCTAAGAAGAATGTATAGGAAAACTAAAGCAGGATCCTCAATGGCATATATTTTGAGCCATGTTTGATAACGTACCAAATGCCCTGATACGATCGAGGGTGGGGAATCACCTTTTCCTCTCGAGATACTCTCACATGACCACGCGTAAACAGTCAATTCCAGGGAAGTGTTGTTTACGAAATTCAGAGGACGCAGGGCGAATGTCCGGCGCCTCAACTGGATTGATGGACACGGAGGGTCCACCTGGGGAAGTTTTATTTATTTTATTTATATTAACACCTAAATTATGGTACAAAGGGGCACCGAATATATATGCGCCACACAAAACCAATGAGAATTAGAAAAGAAGGAAAGGAAGGTAAGGAGCGTAAAAGAAAAAAAAGAACAATAACGAACAGATTAGTGTAAGGTAATGTAATGTAATGTAATGTAATAATAATAATAATAATAATAATAATAATAATAATAATAATAATAATAATAATAATAATAATAGTAATAATAATAATGGGGGAAACGGAAAGGTACCATCGGAAGAATTCCTTTAGTTAAGGAAGGTACAACCACTTTTTATGAAGAAAGTAAAAGAAGGTTACGGCAAGATCGCCACTGGCTTCTATTCTGAGCCATATCTGATAACGTCTCTAGCCACTGTATTCAACCATCTCTCGGACCCCAGCCAGGGAGTCGTGAAGGACCAACAGAAGCCAGCCCTTTGCAGCTTTCTTTCATGCCACGACACAATTTCATACACTGACCACCTCTCCACTTTTTCCAGCCAGTCCCAGAGTCGGCAAATAATGCACGACGTGGAATTCCCCGGGACGATATACCTAGAACATGTCCAAGCCACCGAAGTCGATGTTTCAAGATGGTGACACCAATTGAACTATCGTCTCTGCACCCAAACACACGATGCCGAACCTCTGCATTACTAACATGGTGTTGCCACTGGATGTCAGTAATCCTTCAGAGACAACGATGATCAAACACAGAGTCGTCTAACGTCCTCAACTCGGAGAGACCGGGTTTCACGAGCATATAGCAGAACCGCTCTTACCGATGCGTTGTAGATCCGACCTTTTACAGCCAGACTGACATCACGAATGCGCTAAAGATGTCGCAGATTGGCATAAGCCGCTCTGGCTTTCACTATACGTGCATTGATCTCATCACTCACACCACCACCAGCACTTATGCAGCAACCTAGATACACAAACTTCTCGACTACTTCTATCTGCTCACCATCCAGGGTGAGTACAGGATTGGAATCCTGCCAGTCTTGTAGAAGTACTTTGCACTTCGAAGGTGCAAAGCACATACCATACCTACGGACACTGATTGCCAACTGATTAAGTGCGGATTGCATGCCTTGGGCATTATCGCACAATAAGACAATATCATCTGCATACTTAAAGTCGAGAAGTCTTTCTCCAGGCAACAGATCCGCACCGCCATTAATTACTTTCGTCGGAGCTGTTTCCAGAATGTCGTCGATGGCAAAATTGAAGAGGAATAGTGAGATTGGGCAACCCTGTCTAATCCCACTGCTCGAATGGAACAATGGAGAGAGGTGGTTGTATGCCCTCACTCTGCCTGAGGTGTTTGTATATGGGGCTCTTAGGATGTTAATAAACTTCTCAGGCACGTCCTTCAATAGACAATCCCAGAGAACAGTCCTATCCAACGAATCGAAGGCAGCCCTGATGTCAAGAAACACTACGATTGTTGGCCTTTGATAAGTATGGCGGTGTTCTAACATTTGGCGGAGGGTGAAGATATGATCAATACATCCTCGACCAGAACGAAAACCAGCCTGTTCCTCGCGAGTCAGTCTTTCTCGGGTTCTGAACAACCTACGAAGTATGACGGAAGCCAATAGCTTGGACGCAATCGGAAGTAAACTTATCCCCTGATAGTTGTTACAGGAACGACGTGAACCCTTTTTTAAGATAGGGACAACTATCGACTCATTCCATGACGTTGGTACACTCTCTAGCTCCCAGACCTTTGTAAACAACGTCGTCAATTCCTTAGTCAAAAAGGCACCACCATCTTTAAAAAGAGTCGGAGGTAAGTCATCTGGGCCAGGTGATTTGTAGCGCTTCAAGAGTTGGAGTTCCTTGCAGACTTCCGCCTCATTCGGTGGACCAGTCGTCATTGGCCATGGAGGGCGGGACAGTCTGACCGATGTTGTCGGAGCAGCAGGCCGGTTGAACTGCCCTTCGAAAAATTCTGCCCATCGTCCAAAACGTCGATGGATGTTAGTGATTGGCATCCCACCATGCTCGCAGATTGTTTCACTCACACCAGACTTCTTGCTGCCAGTAGCTCGGATGAGTTGGAAGAGCTTCTGGTAGTTACCAGATGCAGCTGGTGCTTCCAGCTCATTAGCACGTTACGATCACCAGGCTTCTCGGTCCATACGCAAGCTTTGCCCGATTTCATTACGCAAGAGCCTTCGTTTGTGGTCAAACCCACGGTCACCCGTAGTAGATTGGAACAAACTGATATTGATTCTGCAGCTCGATAGTATTGTACTTACTGTAACATGGAGAACCTGAGCTCGATTTCGTACAGGCCTGTGAGTACACGCTAAATACCAAGTTAGAGAATGAACGTCCAGACAGGTAGTCCAGAACCAGCGGCAGTTTTCTACCGAGCCTCTCCAATGAGGACTGATGGCAATATGGTCTATTTGAGTTTGATGGTTTGGTGCAGGAGGTCGCCATGTTTGATGATGTCTCTCCTTATGCTTAAAGTTAGTGCTTGCTAAAAATAAATGATCGTTTGAGTACACTTGCAGCAGACGATCACCATTATCTGTTTGCTGATTCGAGATACTAAAATACCCACCTTAATGTCTTTTTGCTTGGTTTAAGCTACCTACTTGGGCATTAAAGTCACCTGCTAAGAGTACTATGTTAGAGGGTTTAGCTTTCTGCAGAAGTTCGGACAGCTTTCTGTAAAACTCATCTTTCACTTCATCTGAGTTACAGTCAGTGGGAGCGTAGGCAGAAACGACGAAAAGGCAACGACGTGTGTCCCTATCCTTCCGAGTTCTTACGTAGCCGTTTAGCCGAACAGCACATAAACGACTGTTGACGGGGATCCACTCTAACAGTGCTTGTTCCGCCCTCATGCTTAGTGCTATGCCTACACCTGCCAGTCCACGAGAACTGGCCATCGGGTCACCAGATACGTGGAGGGTGTATCTCGTTGGCTCTCCGTTTTGCCGAGGTGAGGTCAAGTGAATGACCACACTGGAATCCTGTATGCGTGTTTCGGAGACACAGCATACATCAATGGTAAGAGACTCTAGGGTTCTAACCAAGGAAGCCTGCTGACCGACTTGACATAGGGTTCGTACGTTGAAGGCTCCAATGTGTAGTTTGGAGCGAGGTTTCAGTAGACCTGGGACAGTGTTTTGAGCACTAGAATCGTTGGTTGTCGGAAGGAAACACCTTACTGCCGTCACACCTCTGTACAGTCAGCAGTACAACTTCATCTTCGGACCTTGGATTTGCTGCTCTTAGTCTTACAGTTCTTTAATCGACTTGTCTGACACTGTAAGACCTTGAGGAACGATTGTTCCAGTCAGTATAGCTCGATTGGTTCATCACTATGGGCAAGCCCGAACACCACGTTAAGGTAGCAACAACGGTCGGTATAAACAAAGAAATAAAACTTAAAATCAGTGGATGTATAACTATTAAATAAGCTGTAATGTTACGAATAAATTAGTGACAGTATGGAAGCATATGATTTCTAAAGTTAATTTGTGATCATTCACCTGACTTGCATCTGAGGATGGATCGTGTTCTGAAGTATCACTCAAGGGTTGTTCGACTTCCATAGCTTCTTCATATTCCAGTGCATGAAGGCCCGCATTACGGTTAATAGCATTTGGGTTTGTCTGGGGAGTATTAGGACTCAATTTCCCTTGTTTGTGAGACATTCAAGTGGTCCTTGAAAAGCACCAACAGTTAACTGAAATAATCTGAAAATGAAAGTAACATCAGTCTCTAAATATTTAGTATTCAGTATAAACCAGACTTGATACTTTTAAAACACTAATAAATTAACATGGATCACTACTAAACCAATAATTCAGCGACAGACATCTCGAAAAGTTCACCAAAATATGGGGAATCGAGAGAGACAATGACAGTAATACGAGATTTAGTGGAATTTAAAATCAATACTGTGATCCAGCCACACCAATGTCTTCGCACATTTAAACATAAAATTTGATATACGGTTATGCCAGGTGTTCGCTGACAGGCAGCCTATGGTTTTGATTGTGCTACAGAGTGAATTTGCAACGAGATTTTGTCTGTCGTTAGATTAACAGTCCTAATGTATGTGCTCAGATAGAATGACCAACGAATTCAAACTAATTCCCCAGACTGGTAATTAAATGAAAGTTCGATTTTAGAAAACTACTTCAGGTGCTCTCAGATGACCATCGGACTAAAAACTAAGGAGAAAAGAACTTTGAACTAAGGTCTTAACTGACGTCTGACTGAAGTCTCTGGATGATAAAAAATCGATCAAGATATATATATATTCATTTACTTTCATGTTTAGACATATTTCCATACATTCTTTTTGTTGAATTTCTCTCGTTTTAAAATTCATGACTCCCGTTGAGGGCTCATTTGCTTTATTTTGGGGAGGTAGACCACTAATACGCTGTACAAGATCCCATTTTATATCTGAACCCAACGAAAATCTCATGATCTGATAACTTGATGTATGGGCGAGAATGATAATGACTGGTTGTTTGTTTAGTCGGGCTTGTAGATAATCTGACAGGTGTTAGATGAATTATATATTCTCCTATCCTTATTATTATTGTTATTATTAATTGTTGACAGATTGTTGTTGGTTTTTGGTGTTGAAATATATTTACGTTCTAGTTAGGCTAATCACGTTCTTGATCTGAGTGGTGTTCAAGTCCTGTAGAATAGACACTGAGAGGGAATCTAGTGTAGATATTCGCCTAAGGCAAATTAATGTCCTATTCATGTAGACGTGGGAAACCAAGTGTTATAACAATGGCGATTTTGTAACAGTAAAATGGATGAACTGAAATCTTTATTGCAAGAGCAAAATGCTTTTATCGAATTATTGGTCAAGAATATGTCAGTATCCCCAAGAAACCAGGTATCTAATTCTACTATGACTTCGGATTCTATTGCCTATTCAATAAATGAATTTAGATTTGAATAGAAAGTGGGATTACTTTTGAAGCGTGGTTTAAGCGCCAAGAGGATTTGTTTATTAATGATTGTAAAGAGTGGGATGAAGGTTCGAAACTAAGATTATTACTACGGAAGCTTGGAGTTTCTAAACATGAAAAGTTTCGTCATTTTATTCTCCAAAAAAATCAACCGACATAACCTTCAGAGAAACAGTAGAATTCCTGACACGTATATTTGGTGAACGACCAGCAACTTTTCTCCAACTTGTAAAAAGTTTACATGACGATTATGTAACGTACGCAAGCATCGTAAACTGTGAACGTGAGCGGTTTCGGTTACAGGAAATGTCCTCATAACAGTTTAAATGCCTTATATTTTGTCTGTGGATTACAATCTGCAGTAGATGCAGACATTAGAACATGGGTTCTAGCGAGGATCGAATAAGATCCCAATATCAGTCTGCAGTCAGTATCTGAAGAATGTCAAAGAATAGTGAATTTGAAGCATGATACAAATTTCGTAGAAAGGAACAGTGGATACGTGGAAGTCAACGCTTTGCAAAATTCTTTTAATGGAAATAAGGATTTGTACTTCCAGCGAATCCCAAGTCGAATGAAACCCAAACGTCTTGTTGGTGATGCGGTGAGTGTCATTCTGCTAATGTTCGCTATTTTTAAAGTGTTTTCGACGTGGTAAATATGGTCATGCTCAATTATGTTGTAAAGTAGACCAAAGATGGCCGACCATCAGCATAAGTTCCGTAAAGAAAATAAGACGCGGAAGTCAAAAGAGATAGCACATAATTGGAGTGTTGTTCTGGCCACAAAAATTGCTCAATTCTCATCTAAAAGGAAGTACGCAACTGTCTTTTTTTAATAGCAAACCGGTTGAGCTGCAAGTAGGTACGGGGTCTGACATAACAAAAATTTATAGACATGGATAAAACTTGGACAACCTCAATTTCAACCTACATATTATAGTGGTAAGAGTGCAACAGAAACTAGCATTACTCTTCTTAAAGAAATACAGCTACCTCTCGCACACTGGGTAACAAGACTACGATCGAAAGATATTATATTTCTGGGAACTGTCATACCAACATATTAGGTATTGATTGGATAGATAAAGTTGGTTTGTGGATTCTACAGTTGAATACACCGAAAGTAGAAGGCCAGCCATGGCCAGAAACGAGCAAGCCTTGGGTCCGAATACGCATCAATTATGCTGGACTAATAAGCGGACAATATTTTTGGTGGTGGTAAACTTATACTCCAAATGGCCTGAAATCTATGTTATGCGAAGACCGTCTACATCTGAAACACTTTGACACTTCAGACTACTATTTGGTAGGTTTGGAACACCTAATGTTTTGGTTTCAAATAACGGAACGCAATATGCGTCGTCAGAGTGCGGAGCTCTGCTCTGAGAACCCCACCGTATCACCCTCAGTCAAATCAGCAAGCAGAAAAATTTGTTGATATTCTTAAGCAAGCTCTCTTAAAGATAAGAGAAGAAACTGCAACAGTTTTTAATCTCTTATGGAATTACACCTAGTCCAATCTGTTAAGACAGAAAATCACCAGCCCAGATATTTGGCTGACCAATTAGGACGTTTTTGATGTTTTGAACCCGAAAGACAGAACGAGTGGACTACAGAAAAATAAGAAATGGAATTTCCCTAAGATTCGAGAAGATAAAGCAGGTGACTTAGTTTATGCACGTGATTTCCGTCCAGGAAAGCCAAAATGGATATTTGGGTACATAAAAAAAAGTGGGAAGATATTGTATGAAGTGAGATTTGGGAATACACTAATTATTAGACATATAAATCAAGTGAGAGAAAAAATGTTAGTGAGTCATCTAAAGCCTAACCTTTTCTAATGGAAGTATTATGCGATACATTTAATATTCCACCATCCTCACAAGTTGAAATTAGTCGAAATCAGAAGCTAACCGGTCACCAAGAGAATGAAAAAGACGAGACTTTCTCAAATAGACCCTATGGTGAAGTCAGACGAACAAACTTCGTGAGGGAGGCGATGTGTGGGCGAGAATGATAATGACTGGTTGTTTGTTTAGTCGGGCTTGTAGATAGTCTGACAGGTGTTAGATGAATTATATATTCTCCTATCCTTATTATTATTGTTATTATTAATTGTTGACGGATTGTTGTTGGTTCTCGGTGTTGAAATATATTTACGTTCTAGTTAGGCTAATCACGTTCTTGATCTGAGTGGTGTTCAAGTCCTGTAGAATAGACACTGAGAGGGAATCTAGTGTAGATATTCGCCTAAGGCAAATTAACGGCCTATTCGTGTAGACATGGAAAACTGAGCGTTATAGCATAATCATTGAAGTCGCTGGTTAATAGTAGATCACTAAAAACTAATACCATTGAAATACGGCGCATTACTAATTGGTTTTGCAATGTACGATCTAGGCAAACACTACCGGGATTTCCGATGCAACTACAAAGAACAAATAAATATCTATAGCAGGTATATGATCACATTTTAAATCCCTCACGTGGGTGCGAAGATTGAGAGGTAACTTTGAGTGCAACACATACACAAGCCTTTCAGAGGCATATTGAGGGACATCTAGGAGTAAGTTGGATTTGAAACATAATGAATGGTTTGATGTCAAAGATTGGTGTCGTCACCAATAAGTATACAGCACTAGCCGAACCTAATATTTCTTGTTAGTTTATCAACTTCAGCGGGGATCTTTTTTTTAACTATGCCATATTTTTTTAAGTTTGCTTTCGTCAAGTCACTTTATTGAGAACACATGGTAGATTCACTTACAAAAACACTATAAAATGACTTATTAAATGCGGTTTTCTGGCCACTTTGAGTAATAGTGCAAGCATGTTTAGGATGCTATTCTCTCCTCAAGTGCAAATTGTTGCCTCAGAACTGGCCTGCGTTGGCGCACAAATTAATGAGAATGAAGTAACTGGGTGTACCAACCTTATCACTTGGGAGTCCCATCAGTCATTATGAGATGCTGTCTGATGAAACTTCGACATAAATTTGAAAACCCCAACTGGTTTTTCCAAATCGAGTCACTTGTGACGTGTGTAAGATATCCCTGAACCAACTAAAGGACGGGCTTACTGCTCAGTACTTTACGTCGTTCTACTTCATGATCGTGGAACATGGCTATTAAAAATAAAGGATATTTCTAGGTGACTAGTATTCGACAATAAGTGTATTTGAAGCGCTGCTTGTCTAGTTTGGGACCACTGAGTAAATGGTGCCTAAGTTAGAGATAGTGTACTAGGTAACCTATCAGTCTATCAGCTGATGAGGAAGTAAATCAACTGAGGTGGTTGGGATATATGTTACGTTTGCCCAACCACTCACTGCATAACACGACGGACGGTGTCTTGTGTAGTAGGTTGGGAAAAAGCTATGGGGCCATACTATCATTTTATATAGTTAACTACGACTAGTGTTGCTACTATCGTCACCATAAGATGATTAACATCTAGGATACGATAACCAGAAACTTAATAATTTACTTATGGTTTATCGAGATTTTATATTTTGGAATCCACCCGAACAGCCGGCACTAACATTGGTAGTTTCAGCGCGTGGAATTTCAAAGTAAAAATGTCACAATGTTAGCTATGAGGTGCGCCACTTGTCTTAATGTGTCACAACCACAGGCTTCATCATCATCTAAGGCTAATAATCATTTAGCCTTTTGTATTAACTAGAGGATTTTTCAAATACTAAGCCAACCAAAAATTATGGTAAGAAACCATCTCACGAAACCTAACAGTGGGACTATATGCTAGCAGCTAAATAATTTGGAATTTAAGCAAGAGTCCGTAGAGCTTTAGTGCATGCGTCCAGGTGTACAACCAAGCCGCACTATAACCAGAGGCCGAGTATAGAAGTCTATACTCGTCAAATGAAGGTCTACCAACTCAAGTGATGAGAATTTGGTATTAGGAATCATCGGCGAGGCCACAATTTACGGACGAATTAGTTAGATATAAGGTAACAGGTCTTGGATTCAGTTGCAAAATTCATTCATCCATATGGCTAAACAGCATTTTGATAATATCGCTGTCAGTTTATGATGAAAACCCCAAATCTAATTTCTAACTTAAGCCACCAACTGTAACTCCTAATCCTAATTCCACGCACCGGTTTATAATCCGCACTTAGTCCTAGTTACTAGGTGGACACAATGTCAGATGTCCTCATGAATTAGTCCCACCGAATCATCTTATCGAAGTAGTGGAAAAGTTTGAACATTAACTGCTATTAGTAGACTTCTTATGTCTTACATTTATATTCAGATTCTACCTCAATCTCGCCGTTATTGGAACGCTTTCCTGGCTTGTTGGCACTCTATGTAATTGAATAACGGTACGCAACGATCACTATGCCACGCCCGTAATGTGAATCCCTTTTGTTATGGTAGAAGATATAGGTTAAGCACTTTTGGGGGCTTTGTAATATAATAACAATCCGGTAACTGAATGGGAAAACCCATAATCGGATAAGTCGACACCATGCATGAAGATCAGATTAAGAACGTCAATACCGAGACATTGTAGATCATTCTGCAGGAAACAGGAGTCTGGTACATATATCCACCACAGGAATGCCATAAATGGTCGTTGAAATAATTCAGAATATCTCATACGCTTACTAAAAATTTAAGTGGTGTTATCTATATTGGTATTTTTCAAAGTATAATAATGAGGCGTTTCCGTCGGTATAAAAACAAAGTCTCCAATCGGTGAGCACGATATTCTAAAAGCTATGGGTGAATCCGTACGCAAAACACTAAGGAGTACCAGTTTTATATTCATTTACAATCAAGCTGTAACTAAAGCCTTAGCTAACAGTATGTCCGAATAATGTGTGAAGCGAAACCAAAACCTTATCTGGACATAATACGAGACCATTCGAACGTATATGGCAAAAAGTAAACGAACCTTATTCTACAAATTATCAAGAAACAACGGGATTTCCACGAAGCCCAAGATTATTAGACCACGCGCCTAACGCTGCAGCATCGCCTAACTTAACAAAATTTGGGCGGTCCAATATGGTACCTCACTGTCAAATAATTTTATTTATTATTTCTGAGTGACATTAATTTAATGTAATGAATGCTACATCCAAATATACTACTCTCTGAGTGACCAGCAGTAAATTGACTTTAATTTTAAGTGATCATGTGTGTTAGAAACATATGGGCAAAGAACTCTATAGTGGTGAATAAATCCTTAACATAGATAGTTCTGTAGGTCTTCGACATTGATGCCAACGTCGATAGCTCTACTGGACACATATTAACTAAGGACACAACTCTAAGCATCCTCACCAGGTCACCGTTTGGTACACCATGCAAAGCATCCATCGCAGCCCCAAATAGCTTGGCGCATACATTTCTCGGCATGTATATCACCTTCCAAATCTATCCTAAAACGCCTTCATTCCTGATTACTGACTCTACCGTTTTTAGGACCTTTGATTATAACGCTGATACCAAAAACTTTCAACCAATCTGAAGCAATGAAAAATTACTTGGATTATAATGAATGTCATTTTCTATATTTAATGAATTTAGTAAGACTGTAATTTATGGATGATCTTTGAGCTATGCTAGAGTAACCTTCACAGTGTCTGCCCACTTACTAGGGTTAGATGAATGCTATAAACTGGTAAAAGCAATTAGAAATAAAACTTAATGTTAGACGTTAGAGTTAGGAATTACAGTCAGAACTTTCATCACGAAATGACATCAGCTATAATGCCGACATGCGATTTAACTGTATGGGTGAATAAATTTTCTGTCCAAGTCCACGACGCGCTATCCTTAGTCCACCTGAGTCATCTATAAATTATATCCCGCCGTCGTCATTTTTGATTGGCTCGGCGATGGAATAAGTTGTCTTGCGAGATTATACAGACTACATTACATGAATAGATGATAAGTATTTCCAACTTGTTGATAATGGATCTATAATATCGATTCACAATTCCGTCAACTTTTATCATGTCGAATGAATATGCCGTTGACATACAAACGAATAAGTAAACGAGCCTTTTCGATTAGAAAATGGTGGTAAAAGTGATAATCATTATTTTTGGTGGCGGGTGTGTCACCTAAATAAAAAATTTTTTTGAGTGAATGAGATAAATTTGTTTAAGATAGAGTCAATACCCAAGTCATCATAAGACGATATTTTTGCCTGCTTGCATTCTACATAACCGTTGGCGACCTTCAAGTGAATTTACTCTGCTTCTCACATACTCAAATCACTTAAACAACAGGTCAGATCAACCAGTTCAGTGTTAAGGAAGCAATAAAAAACTAGGATGTTGGTAATCAAGCCTGAATGTTATTTCGGACGACACTGAATGATGCAGTAAATACGTTACGAATACAGTGATAAAGTGATTAAAATGGAACAGAATAGTGAGTAAAATAAATAACTGCGATATCCTCTGGGACCAAAACAGACATAGAACACATGAAACAAAATTATCGTTGATAACGCTTGGAGGGATTTTCACATACATTCACATAAACATACAAAACCAACCATATAAAAATTTCAAAGACAATCCAGGCAAGCTTCGCTAGTTCTCTAGATGATACATTATGTTGTAAGATCCATTTTGAAGGTTTTACGTGTTGGTGAAAATCCCTCCATGTATATGCTTGTACTTTGTTCCTATTGATTCCCTTAGTTGTACATTGTTGTATTTTGATTACATTTGAGTTGTTAATACTTGTATTTTTTATTATAGCTTTTGTTTTTCTTACGCATTCACTAAGTTTGTGTTTCCTCCTGAACTGCATCTGTGTTGTTTTACTTGACACTTGTTCTTGGCGGTAGCCATATTGATTTGCTCCTCCTGTTGTGTGTGATCTATCCAGTCAGGATAGAATAACGTTCATTCGTTGTAACTGGTAATTCTTCCTCATCTTCTATCAACTTCTTTATTTATTGTAATTTAGATTTGATTGATTGAACAATTATTGGTTGAATAGCCGGGTGGTAATATTTGTTTAGGTAACGATTTACATTTAAATTTATGATGAATTATAGAACCGCTAGTTACCCGATTACTTGTTCTGATTTCGACGGGAAAGGGCGCGTGTCTAAAATCCCCGGTCGGCTATTCTTCAACATCCAAACCGTAGTTTGGATTCTACAATGTTTACAGTACTTTATAACATGCAATATTCTATTCTCACTTAGACCAGTCACAAAGACATCACACGCAAGCTCTTTCTTGAAATAAGGTATGTACAATCGTTGTCAAGGAAAATAGTATATTGGACCATTTCTCGTGTTTGATAGTGCTTACATTCTGTTTCCTGAAGCCGGCAGCACCGTATTGTTACCTCGTTCGTGATTGTATGGTGTGGGGTCTGCAGTTTGCAGTCGGAATCCAGAGTTAGCTAGAGTATCCAATGAAGTACAACGCATTTCATTCCTATTATTGTTGTTTAGATTGTCTCAATCGACATCATGTCAGTGTTGTTGTACCAGTGATTAAACTTGTTTTAACTGTTCAACAAGAAATCCCTGTGTCATTGTTCGTTCACCAGTTCTGGTTTGACGACTATGATAGTTTGTTACGCTGCATTTCACTCACTATAGCTATGTCGGCATTAGTACCGCGACAATTGTTTCATCTGACCACATATTACTATGAAAAAGTGTGCCGTTTTTGGGGCGAATCATTCTAGATTACAAAATAATCCCAAACTTATAAGTTGTTCCCATTATCATTGTTATATAATTATGAATGTCATGCATCAAGTCAACGGATACTACTGCACCATGATTCGTAACATGATCAAGTAATTCACACATTGTTTAAATCAACATTTTTAATTGACGACACCTCTGAATCAACAAATGTAGTCGTATTCTGAACCATCAGAAGTACTCAGCATGCAAAAAACGCTACCTAATTTTAGATGGCTAGTGCCTAATCAAAACTATAAGTAGCTATTCATAACGGCTTCTCAACATTGCCATAAAAGCACGGTTACGACTTAAACATTAGGCAATGTGGTTGATATAAGCGATGGAGCTAACAACATAGTCGACAAACTGACTGATAATAATTACCACATAAATTGTTTTTGTCCTCATTTATATTTATCTGAACTGATGGTTTCGGGTTATTCACTTATCAGTTGATTCCTTCGTAATTATCATAAACCTCATCATTTTGATTAGAAGTTCAACGACAGCCATCTGTATAAATCACAGATGCAAGCAATCGAGTAAATCTCCCATAAGTTAAAGGCATCACTGTCATAATTATACAAACACTGACAAAAATTTCATAACATTAAGATAGAAAGACATTGAACGTTATACTTCTCTAGCTCTAACCTACGCTCTCCCTGGAAGCACTCACTTTATCAACTTATGAGCATCTAGCTAACTGAGAATATCATACAATCCATCACTTTTAATGGCAGTATCTAAAGAGTTTTGGCTTCAAAACCCGATTTCAGACTGATTCATTTATAGCTTTTGTTTAACTTAACGATGTCACAGGTGTTCGGAGTTTGACGTCTTTACATATTCCATCTTTATAATATATACGGCAGCCTACTTGAATATCTGGGCTACCTGTTTCTGCCATCTAATTATTTCAACAAGTTATCTGTTTTTTTCATTAGTTTTAACGTATCATTATGTCCACTAATTGCATAACCTATTCAGGCGCTTTTATGAAAAGCCTACGACCTTTCTCTCCACAAGTTACAAAAAGGTACTGTAAAATACATCGCGGTGGTTGGGAATATGAGTTAAAGAGAATGGACATTAATCGTATGTCCATTCCCGAGCTACTAACTTCTAACTCCCGATCATTATTCAACAAAGTGGACTATCTGCAAATGTGTATCGTAATTGTGGTGTCATCACAATTCAAAAATCTTGGTTAAATGATTTACAGGACGAATGCCTAGTATCACTACGTGGTTTCAAAATTTATCATCAGGATCGATCAAACAATAGAAAGAGGCGTGGCGGCGGTGTAGCTACGTTTATAAACATAAACTGGTGTCGATCTTCGTTTGTGTATTTAAGGTTTTTAAATGACTTTATCGACTGTCTAACTCTATAATGTCGTCCAAAACATCTGAATAAATACAAATATGTTTATGTTACCAATATCTACGTGACTCCAGACTGCACATCATATGCGCTATCTGTTTTTGCTGATGAATTCACTGAGTTCGCTGTTACTGACCTCAGTAATTCACTTTCAGCTGTATGTGTTGATTTCAATTCATGTGACTGTAGCTTCCTTATGTCACTAGGTCACCAAAATATAGTAGATCTTCCTACCCGTTTAGATGTTCATTTAGACTTCGATTTCATTAGTGATGTGGGTATATATACGACTCGTAAACGTGCCCCATTATCTAGCTTGGATCACTGTATCATTCGCGTTCTACCTACAGTATATGGAAAGCATGGGAAGAGTACAATCTTACATCAAACCAAGAAAGTCAACTATACGAATTACTCAGAAGAAAATATCCGAAATCTGAAAAACATGTTTCATACGACTAACTGGGAATCATTGACAGATGACTTGTAGCAGCATTGGACCATAACCACACAATCCTCAAAGCTGAATACGAGATTACTCGGAAAATAGATATTCAATATTTAACGCGGAGAAATACCTAACGATGGAGAAGGCGCGAACGAGGAATTGAATGAATTGGAGTTGATTGAGTGGCATGGCTCGGCCATGCAGGCGTGGTCTCTGCTGAATATTACCTTATATGTTTTATTCATATTAAATATATTGTTCTTTCTCTAGCCTTAGCTTGTTCTTCATCATGTATTGGTAGTTGCTACGATACGGTGAGTTGGTGTAGTCGATGGTGTGACTTTCACGTAAGATCTTATAGATTAGGTAGTTATATCATGACAAATCTACAATTTTAGGATTAGGTCTATTGTTAGAGCAGTACTAATATCATAGTAGACCATAATTCTACAGACTCACTG